CACGCACACGCACGCACGCACATACACACGCGCGCACGCACGCACGCACGCACGCACGCACGCGCACACGCACGCACGCACGCACATGCACACACGCGCGCGCGCGCACACACACACACATCCTAACCCACACTCACATCTTAACCTACACCCACACTTATACCCACACCTACTAACTCACCCATCCACCCATCGCAATTTTAATCCTTAATTTTTAACTTTGTGTTTAAATGAACCAAAATTCCGTTTAAATGATAGTTTTTAAATGCTATTTGCTGCGATTGCTATTTAAAGTTGTTCAATGCGTAAAATGTACCTCTATTATATTGTATCAAACTTTATTTATCTATAAATTTATCTATAAATTTTTCCCAGTAAGCGAGAAACATTTTGAAACATTCCAAAAACGTTGCCATTATAACAATATTGTAACATTGCTGCAATGCTGCTGGAATGTTTCAGAATGTTTTTTTCTTATTAGATTATATATGTAAGATTCTTTAATGCACATAATACATCGGACCAAAGGAAGTCCATTTGTATTTCGTTACGGCGGTCAATGGATATTAAATATTTGAGCTACAATAATAGGTGATTAATTTATTGGATCATACATTGGATCGGTCAGAATAAAAGGAGATACTTATATTAACTTTTTAACAGAAAATTTATCATAACAGTAAATTTATACATATTTGAAGATTTTTCATTATATATCCGATTAACATGATGAAGTACCACCTCATAGCAGTAGGCTTGCGAGACATTATCCCAACATAAAAGTTCCTAATTCTTAAATTGATAGGTTTATTATATAGTCAATGATTTGATTCTACTCGGATGAATTTAATTCTATTTTCTATGAAGATGTTTAAGAAGTGTCTCTCAAAAACTGAAAACTCTACAAGGTTTAGAAGAACACTTTTGCTATGCAATTACAATTATTAAGATAAAAGACAACCATGCATTCTGTAGTTACTGATTACAGGGTGCATCACTGACATGATTCAAATGGGATGAAGTTAAAATCTTAAACAGTAATAAGAATTTTATTGGACTCTACATTTGAAAATTCAACAATAAGAAATAGAAGTACAATGACCGTTACGGCCATTACTTCTACTTTTTATTGTTAAATTGTGAAATTTTAAATATTGAGGAAAATTACACAAAACGCTTGATTACAGAAATGATCTACATTAAACGGCAAAAAACAGTATTAATTTAAATACACTGGATTATTTAATTAAGCATATCAATATTATCTAGATAGTTTATCATTGATTTATATAATTTTGATTTTGATCGTTTTGTCTTTAATTTTAAGCTGCCTTTATTTTATTGTTATTCGCTGACATGTAACCGTCAGATTGAAATCCTCTTTATCGGCCATTATTATTTTTATATTTGAAGTTAAACATGTGAAATGCAATTTTTACAACATTCTTTACTGAATACACATTCTCCCTCGCTACCTCAGGTTAATTATTCTATTTAATTTTTATCTTATTATAATACAATTCGTTATTTACTTAATATTATATTATTGTAAGGGTTAGATTGAGAATAAACAACCATCCAACTTTCTAACTAGTCGTAAGATAAAGACTTCTCCGCCAGGAGTGTGTAGTTTTAACTATAGGACAGCGTGTTGACGGAAGGATGTAGTTCGCAAAAAATTCTTTTGTAATAAATAAGTCCTATTCAGTTAATAAATTTTAAATCTCTTTTAAAATTAAAAAATGATACGTTCAGACTTTATACGTAATGAAACTTATGTAACTTATGTAATACAATTTTTACTAAGATGGAAGAAATAACCTAATTCGCGTTGTTTATAATTTATATACAGGGTGTTCAAAAAAGGGATCCCGTATTTACTCGGGAGGATGCCTTTTTCAAAGAAATGTTTCAGACAAAAGTTGTGAGTATAAAAAGATCTATGTACAGATTTTATTAATTTGACCTTGGGCGTTGCCAAGATCAAGTCAAGATCAAATCGATTTTTTTAAGTAGAACATCCTATTTTTGATGCCAGAATCTAATCGGAGCGCTCTGACGGACGTATACTCAAAATCATATATCTCCGTGAAAATACAGCGGATTAACTTAAAATTTTCAGGCAATATTTCTAACATTATACTTTAAGAAAATGTGATTTTTTAAAAATCAATTTTTTGAAATTTCTAACTGACAATGAGTATACCCCCTTAATATAGCATATATACATATACATATACGCTATTTGGGCAATTTTATATACTTTTTAATTGTTTCATTTAAACGGAATTTTGACAAAAAGTTACTTTATTTGATACCAAGAATCTCTTAATACATCTGCATGAGATTATTTTGGAAAACTCTCTGCGTTATATTATTTTGTATTAGCCTTTGTCTACTATTAAATCATGTTATGTAAAGTATATTCTATATTAGCATACAAGTTCAAAATTTTTAATTAAAGTACGCAAATAGTTACAGAGTGGTAGTTCAGGATTAGTACCATGTGCTCAATCATTAAATGTTGCTGTCAGTACTGCGACTGGAGACGGGAGTAATAACAACAGTGGTAATAATAGTGGAAGTAGTGATAGAAGAAGAAGAAGTGGCCTTAGCACTGTTATGCAGCGACCAGGTATGATGTAGTTAAAAATTGAATAATGTGTTGAGTTTTTACTTTTCGACAATTATATATAATTATGATTGTATGGCTTGTAGTATTCTTTAATATGTATTCTTTATACGTTGTTCAAAATTAGCACTATGTCCCAAGTTGTGCTTTTTCTGTTATTATTCATTGTTTCTGTTATCTATTTTTCTTTATAAATGCTTTTATTGCATATCAGAGTTGCTGAGAAAATATGTGATAGCATATTGAAACAGTAGATAATAATACAGTTATTCTGAATGATTGATAATATTTATGATTGATTATATTACTTAGATAACACGCAACGTCTATGAATGTTCTATAAATATTTTTAGAACATTTTATGAACGTCTTATAAATTTTGTGCTATATTGATAATTATAATTAGAAGTAGTAATATCGTACACTTTGCAAAAAAATTCTTTATTTAAATATACGATAAAATTATTATAAAAAATTGAAAAAATCTTGTGTCATTTTGTATTTAATATATACAAAATAATATTATGTAAGTAAAAAAGATTTACTATTGAAACAATATTATATATAATTTTATATTATTTAAAACTGTGTTTCTTGTATTGTTTTGAACATATTATTTATAGAAGTACGAAGTAAGGATGTGAAAAAATTGTGCTAATTAAGAAAATATAAAATTAAATATAAACATATACAAAATTCAATTCTTTTACTTCATTATTTGATATACACCAAGGTATGATTTCTTAAAAAATTTAAAAATATATACGCCAAATATATATAATAAAAAGAATATCTAATGTTATTAAAGATAAAAAACTATTTTTTTTTACTTTAGAACAAAATAAAAAACATGTTCCTTACAGTAAAAAAACTGTTTTTAACCGAAATGATATAGAATTCATGAAAAATGTATGTAAGTGTAGAAAAGAATACAAAATTTATTATTTCCTTGATATTTATTGTTAAAATGCTTTATATCTACATCATTTCGACATTATTTAATATTTTTTCTTTTTAAATTTTGTATATGCATATATATAAGGCAGAAAAACATTCTTGCATTGTTGTAGTGCTAATGAGTTGATATTCCTTACCGACAATGGTTTAAGTACACTACCACTTATAATTATGAACGATAGGTATTTTATTTTTCGATTTTAAAAATTAAATAAATGATGGCCCATACTGTTGACACAGATATAATATTTCATTAGCATAATTGTTTTATATTGATTGTAATCATAAATTATAATTACTGAAGCAATATTATATTGATTCAAGAAAATAGTTGGACATTATTTCACTAATTAGTATTTTAAAATATAACGTACACACACACACACACACACACACACACACACTACGTATGCGCGCGTATGTATACAGGGTGTTCAAAAAGTTCCGGACTTCTTAAATATCTTAAAAAGTAAATATTTCTAAGAAAAATGTTTCATACAAAAGTTATCTTGTTGTGAAAGTAATCTATTTACTGATCTTATCAGTTTGACCTTGGATAGCGCCCCTAAGGTCAGATCAAGGTCAAATCGATTTTTTTTAACGATTCTATTTTTGTTTTCAGAATTTAATAGCTTGTATCAGGAGCTTTTCAAAACATTATAATAAAGTCTCTTTTTAATCAGTACTTTCCAAATTATGAGATTTAAAAGTTACAGAACCGTCGGCTTCAGCATTAAGGTGTATCATTATCCGATTGGATTTATGAGTCATGTGCGCGCATGTATTTGTGTCTATCTTTTTCCTTCCCCTTCCTTCTCCTTTCCTTCTTTCTCTTTTCCTCCCGCTTCTTTCCAGGCTGGAAACTACATATGCTAGAGATCTCACCTATTAAGTTCATTCTTTCTGTGACTTATAATTGAGGAGGTGTTCGTATACTTTTTTGTGATACTCCATTCTAAAATTATTTATCGTCGTATAGTTATTTTTGTTTATGAAGTATTTATTTAAAATATTTTATAATGCTTACTGAATACGAGCGTATATCCTTTTTAATGATGCGTCGTGATGAACTTTTTATATGATATATAGTTTAAGAATAAAATTTTTTTCATTTTATATTTGTTTATCTGCTCATATCTTACTCTGACATATCAATTTCGCATAATTAATAAGTGGTGATAAGTTAAAAAAAATATGCTTTCTGTTCAGGTCGAAGTTCCCGGTGGGGTCTGGCGGAGAAAGTAATTAAAAACAGATGACGAGAATTTAAGATTAAAGGAATGATAAATATTCAAACGAATGACAATCGATTTATAAGCTCCTGTTTTGACGCATTGTCTTTATTTCTAAAAGATTTATTGAAAAGTCTGTCACTTGTGCGTAAGATCTCCTATGATCATCTTCATCCAATATTAAAAAGGATATATGCTCCTGTTCAGTAAGCATTATAAAGTATTTTAAATAAATATTTTATAAACAAAGATAACTGTATGGCGATAAGTAACGGAGTATCACGAAGAAGTATACAAGCACCTTAGATAATGCTAATGCCGGTGTAAAATTCATGTCTCATAATTTGAAAAGTATTGATTAAAAAGAGACTTTATATACAAACATACATTTTCATATATATGTTTTGAAAAACTGTTGACGTCAACTATTAGATTTTGAAATAAAAAATAAGGTATTTTATTTAAAAAAATCAATTCGTCTTTAGCCTGACCTTGATGGTCACCTAAGAATTGATCAGTAAATAGATCATTTTAAATTATATATAACTTTTGTATGAAACATTTTTCTCAGAAATGCTTACTTTTCAAAATATTTAAGGAGTCCCTGTAGTAAGTTAAAGGTCCGAGACTTTTTTAACACCCTGAGTAAAAAAATTCGAAAGCCAAAGTAAAAAAACTACTTTTTTCTGAGTTTTCTATTCAAAGTTTTTATTCTATTTTTTTTTTTGTTATTTTCGTCTCTAAATATTACATTTTTCATAAAATCCAAAATATTTAATTTTGCACGCACATACGCATACACAAAATAAATGGTTTAAATATAATTACTCAAAAATTAACTGTCTAAAGACGGATATGAAATCAATTCAATTATTTAAGTATTTTATTAAAAAAAAATCTTGAAGAAACTCATCTGTAAAAGACTTACTGATTTTAAGGAACATAAAACGGGGATTAAAAGTGATTGAAGTGCATCAAAATGCATTAAAAAGCTATTGTTATATCTTTGGGAATTAATTTTTGAATCAATTGGAGAAACGAATGATGAGTAAGGAGAGAAGGACATTTCGAATATGAGTCGAACGCACTTTTTGTTGCTCCGAAATTTTCTTTTGAGTCAACGTCCCGTGCCAGCGAGCAATGGAATGTCAATCCAAATTTCGAGTTAAGGATTTTAATCCTTATAATTCGGGACTGGACCACGTGTGGTTTCGGAAAGGCAAGGAAGTCGGGAAGTATGAGGTTTAAGTACGAGTTCAGGTTTTAAATAAAATGAGAGTGAAGTGTGAGTTAACTAATGTTTATGACTTGTTAACAATCTATTGTTATTATGTGAATATTTACAAAGTAGAGTGAGTTTTACGCAATTGGTTAATTAGCATCTAAGGCATCAAACATCTATCATTTTCAAATAATTGAGACAATTACTTTAAATACGAAGCGCCACTATGGTCTGAATGTTAAGATGTTGAACTATTATATATGTTCATTTAGCTTAGGACGCTCGCACGCAATGCAAGAGATCCGGGTTCGACTCCCGGCTAAGGCAACATTTTTCACAATAAGTTTATTACAGTTTTTTAAGATTAAATTTGGGAAATTTGGGGGGATTATTAATATTTCAGATTGATTCCGACAATCATATCGGCACGCACAATTATAATTGCTGAAATTAATTCATTTAAATGAATATAAATATAGTTCAACATATTAACATTCAGACTGTAGTGGCGCTTCATATTTAAAATATATCTAACATAAACGGTCTTATTTCCAATTTTATAATTGAGATAAATTCGGAATTGTAAAAACTATATATGAAAAGTAATACATTATATAAAAGGGCGAATTAGAGTGATAATACTACTTTGTAAGAATGCGTAACAACTAATGATTATGAATATCATCAACGTTTACCGTGTAAAAAAAAATTAATATAAGATCAAAGCAAAAAAATATACATAAGAATATATAAATAAGAAAAAATATCACTATTTGAGAATTCATAAAAAAAGGATTAATTTACTACCTATAAGAAGTAACTTAAAAGAGAGTGATAATACAAATTACAAATCAACAATAATAAGAAGAAACATCATTAAAACTAATTTACAAGAGTACGCGAAGTTTATACATCTTGTAACTGTAAGAGATTAATCTACGAGCATGAGCAAAAATGAGAAGATGCGTCTGAGGGTTGAGTGTTTCAGTCCATTTTATGCAATGCCAAGTGCTAATGACATTGATTTTATAACCGTTTTTGAACAGTTAATTAAACACAATGATACAATAAACTCATTGCTGATTTTTATCAGTAGAGTAACTTGACATAAATGTTATTTGAATAATCTGTACCAAAAAATATAGATTAAAGATAATTATAATGGAAGAACAAAAAAAGGACAAAAATGCAAAAGCCGTTTCACTTGTCTAGACATTTCATAAAGATTTTCTTATAAAGATTTTGAGATTAAAGTTTGTATTGCCATCTTTATAAAGGGTGTTTTTTTAAGCCCGATAGAACTTGAAATTGTAAAAAATAAAACAAAAAATTAAATTAAACAGCCGCAGTGGCCATATGCCCGAAATCATTTTCAAATGTTAATGCCACGCATTGATCTTTCGACTAAAAAAAATTTTTTGATTATAATTTAATTTTTGTGTTAGTTTTTACAATTTTAAGTTCTATCGGGCTTAAAAAAATCTATCGGACTTAAAAAAATACCCTTTAGAGATTAAGAGAAGTCGTATATTTCTTTTTAATTTTTTATCCATTTTAATATATGTGCGTGCGTACGTGTTCTCAAAAATTAT